CGCCCCGCCTCCTCCGCCTTCGCCCCGCCTCCTCCGCCTTCGCCCTGCCCTGGGTTTCTCAGAGCCAGAACAGGCTCACTCCGCGTTCGCTCTTGGACCCGAGGTTTGTTTGTTTTCGTTCCCCTGCGCTTCCCTTTACTCCTCTCTAGAGCCATCCGGTGAGCATCACCCGCTTCATGGGGCTGCATTCAAGATGAAAAACAAGCACAGTTTTCCAGTGCTTGGTACCCAGAGAGCAGTTCACAAACGAAACACACACACCCCGAGGGGGTGTGGATTTTACCCACATACTGTATTCTGGTTTTAGTAATGTAATTAAGATCATTGTAATTCTTTAAAGTTTTGCCAATTTTTTCCCACGTGCGCGTCTTACTCACGCAGCCACAGGAAGGGCAGGAGGACTTCCCTGCTCCCTCTCCAGAGCAGCTGGTGGGACACCTTGCATATATCATTGAAGGCTTAGTGACTCTAAGCCCCGTTCATAGATAAGATGCTGTGGCTGTGAACAACAGCTCAACTATGCACCTCTGACAGCAAAGGATAACAGAACCCCTTTGTTATGGTTTGTGTGCATTTGTCCCCCCAAAGCCTCATGCAGTCGTTGAGGTACAGATTTACAGTCTGTGATCACCTCATGATCCGAGGCTGGGATTATGGGTCCAGTACTGCTGGGATTATGGGTGTGAGTGCTACACCCAGCCTGGGGTGGACAGCCTGATTGTAACATAAGACAGACAGACAGAGAGACAGACTTGCTCTCTGCAACCATTGCTGCCGCTGCTCCTGCCTTGCTCTCTGCTCTTTGCTGCCGCCACGAATGGCTGCTCTCTGCCATGTGCTGCTTGCAGCAGAACGCCGCCGCCCCCAGCATGAGATCTGACAGGTTAGCATGCATGCAGGCCCACCAACCAGGGCTCCGGCAGGTCCCCTCACCCTCGGGCCAGATGGGACGCCCTCCCTCCGGCGGGTCCGCCCATCCAAATCCTTTCCAACATTGCCCCAGAATGTTACCCAAACATTTCTTGGCAGCAACAGAAATGCATCAGCGCTGGGAGATCACGCTCTGCACTCACACGCTTGCTGTATTTTCAAACCATGTACAGATCAGAGAGGATGTCACCCCTGAAAGCCAAATGGTGTGCCCTCGGGCTGCAGACCCCTTCCTTGGCCGTGAAGAGGAGCAAAGCGAGGCCACTGGGAGGAAGATGGAAGCCGAGACCGTAGCGTTGCGAGAAGGAAGTCAGGCGCAGAAGGCCTGGCATCACACGGCGCCTCTTCTGCGAAGAGACATGTGTGTAAGCAAGAGTGAGATGAAGGAGAGGTGGGAAGCGGAGGCAGAACTTTGGAAGTGAGGAAAGGGGCCAGAGGAGGGGAGGATGGAGGGGCAACGTGACTGAGCTTGAACCAGGTACATGCAGCCCGTACCCATCCAGGACGAGCTGGGGGGGGGCGGGGGCTAAAGGAGAAAAAGAGGACAAAATGCCAGAGGCATGGGATAAGCGCTTCAGGAAAAGCCACTGCCTAAGCCCCCCTCTGGAATAGCACAGAGAAGGAAACATGACAAATACTGTGATGGCAAACACAGACAGGAAGGAAGTATATTGCTTGTTTCCTTCTGGAGGATTTAACTAGAAATTCACTAGTATGTGATTAAGTGATGAAGTTTTCCAGGAAGGTAAACAAGGAAACAATGACACGGTGACAGCAAGTGCTCAGCTGGGTATAAAAGGGGACAGGGGCAGCCAGGCTTCCAAACCTCTCAGACCCTCCACCTCGCAAACCCACCCAGAACCTCCAGCCGCCGACACCATGGTCAACTCCTGTTGTGGCTCCGTCTGCTCTGAGCAGGGCTGTGGCCAGGAGAGCTGCTGCCAGCCCAGCTGCTGCCAGCCCAGCTGCTGCCGCCCCAGCTGCTGTGTGTCCAGCTGCTGCAGGCCCCAGTGCTGCCGCCCCAGCTGCTGCATCTCCACCTGCTGCCGCCCCAGCTGCTGCATCTCCAGCTGCTGCAGGCCCCAGTGCTGCCAGCCCATCTGCTGCAGGCCCACCTGCTGCATCTCTACCTGCTGCAGGCCCCAGTGCTGCCGCCCCAGCTGCTGCCAGTCCA